CGGGCCTTTTTGTGAATTCTTCTTCAATGAATTTACTTGGATCATCGATCTGTTATGAGAATTTAAATATTTCATTTTCCATTTAATGATAAAAATATTTTGTTGAGAGGGACTACATAGAAATTCAACATTCCCTCTCAAATAGTTTTAAAGAATGTTTAATATTTTATTATGCTGTTGAGCACATTTTTCGCCTGATTTATTCAAATAATGATAACCAATTTTTTTTTTATCCTTTTAATTGTCATTGATAATCCAAATGAAATATTAGAAGAGGAAGAGTCGAAGGGATTACCGAAGGATCAAATAGGACTGGAAATACAGTGACAGGCCCACCAGGCGCAGTGAGGATGGCATGTTTAATCTCATCCACCCAACCCTGATCCACTTCTCTTGAACTAAATATAAGTATTGAAATTACCATTCTCAGTTGTTCAAATATGAAACAGTAATTACACATTTTGAAGAAAATGACCATATTTACCTATATTCAGAAGGTGCCAAGAGGAGTTTATTAATGTCAATTTCATACTGCCCTTAAAAAGTGAAGAAAGTCTCATATATTAGGATGTTGAGAAATGTTGCATGAGGACATTTTTTTTTCTTCGAAAATGGAAATCGATACTTCATGAAATTCATTTTTTTTTTGAAGTAGTTATTAACTCATTTTTTTAATATAAATTTATTTTTTGATTTTTTTGTTTTGTTTTTATTTTACGGAAGTGTATTACCTTTAATTGAAAATATTTTTTAAGTGTTATTTTTTCATTAATAAAAAAACACAAGAAACAGTGTTGAGATGTAGGGAGAAATTATAAATTACTTGTATGTATCAAAACAAAGAGTGGTATAATGGTTTTGACCTGTCCGTTAGTCCATCAGTCCCTTTTGTTTATTAATTTATTCATTCATTTATGTAAGGAATTAAGCATATATCAACTTACGTTATACGATATAACATAACTTGGGGTAGTTGATGCTTTATAATCCGCTGAAGTTATAAAAGAAAAAAATAAAATGATTTAAAACCGCAATTCAACGTCACCCGGCGTGGGGTAAGAAATGTAAACATTCCGAAACCAAAGCTGACCAATGAAAAAACGTGTCACAAGAACAGCTTCGGTAATATTCCGAACTTTTCAAAGCATAATGCGCTCAAACGGGTCGTTAATTTGGACTATAAATAAGGGAAGTTACACCTGCAAGTTTATTACAACAGTACTAGCGAATGTACATGGCCAAGGAAAGACAGAGTAGTGGCGTTAAACGAATCTCCGGTCTGATTTTATATACGAGGAATGGTTTTCCTGGAGAATGTTGTTCGAGATGCTATTACCTACACCAATCATGCACTTAGTGTACAATCGGTAAATTTCGCAAAAATAAAGGAAAGTGGCAACATGAAATTAAGAAAGCAATTCGTGGTAAGCTCATGTTAACCTCGCGATAGCATCGATCTTAAAAAAATGTTTTTCACTGTTTAAAATATAGGCATATCGGGTAGAAGTACGTTGACTTATGGGCATGGTTTAACACTTAAATGCTTGCAGTGACAAAAAATTAACAAAACAAAAGAAAACAAAAATTAGCACACCTTTAAATCGTTTTAGTGATAAAATGTTACCACATTCAGCATCGTAAGAATTGTTTTTTTTATTCTACACCATTACACGAACTAAGTATTTACTGATGTACTACCCTTAAATCTTTAATCTATTCAGAAACATGTACAAACTAAATTTATACTCCTTCTTAAATCAAATTTTGTCTATATTCTGTCCCTCAAATTGTCAATTATTTATATGTATTCTGCAATTCGGTTTGCTAAGAAACTTTTCATAGTTTGGATGTATTGGATCAACAACACGTCATTCCCGCCATTTTTTTTTTGAAGGGGGGGGGGGGGGGGTGGGTTGTATCGAGAAAGAGTCAACAATTTTTGTCTTGAAACACAGTATACATACACTGTTAAATAGTACAATAAGGATTGTTTTTCATTTTTTTAATTTATTTATGTATTTGGCAATAATACTTTTTAATGATCTGTATTCTCATCAAGAGAGTATGTCGTACGTTTGCCTTATAACTTAAGTCTTTTTCAATGGCAGCAATACTTTTTCTACTCACTTTATTATTTTTATCATTTTTATGTTATAAACGGGGAAATTTTGCTTGTTAAAAAATATAGAGTTTTTTTTATTACCATCGTATTTCTCCTCAACAAACTGGGTCTCCTGGCTAACCTCCGTCTCATTTGGACCCTCAATTACCCCAACTGTAGGCATGGAGAGTCTTTTAGTACTTTGTTTTGACCTCTTTTCGGTCGGTTTGCGTTTAATTCCAACGCCTTTTAAACCATCTATAAAAATGGCATTGGAGGGTGCATTTTCCAGCTCCTTTGGGAAGCCATCCCCACTTCTAAACATCGTTCTATCTAACCTTCTTCCATTTTTCATTCCCTTGAATCGGATCTAAGAAACATAAATGATATGATAGCGTTAAGACACATAAATATAGTGTCTTTATCTTTTTTTTTACCTTTGCGCTCTTTGAAAATTGAAATATAAAATTGTAGCTTACCCACACTTCTGTTGCAGTTCTTCCCGAATCAACACTTTCAATTGGACCGAAGTCCTCACTATTCTTTAAATCATATGCCCTTTCTTTGTTTATGAGGAAAACTCATAAGGTTTGCAGTCAGTGAATTTGTAAACTGCGTGTACCGCGGTCGTGATTCTGTATGTCTCTTGCCTTGCAAGCACGGAATTCGGTAATTCACCTTGATCTACTCATGGCTTCACTTCGTTTCGCTTAGGTTAAATTTTTGCCGAAAAACACTTCCACGTATATCAAATGATTTCTTTAATGTTTCCGAAAGGAATTATTTTTATTTCCTACCAGCGATGGAACAAAACTTGGATTTTACATTTGGGAGTTATCTTTTCAGTGAAAAGCTAAGTGGGGTTAGCTTTTCACTGCAAAGCTAAGAGGGGTTAGCTTTTCACTGAAAAGCTAATCCCAGCCCCCTTCTCAACCGGAAGTATAAATAATATTAAACGTAATAAAAAAAAAACTATCACTGAAAAAAAAACAACAATACACAAATACACATACAAGATATACCAATATAAAATAGATATAGATACAGAATATAATAAATTACATGTAACAACTGAACTATCATTACTTAGTCTCATTATTGCTTAAATAATTTTTTTTCAGTAACTAAGGAAATATAGGATCTACTATAATTCTCCACCAAGGAGAAGGTGATTTCCCAGAAAAATAATTATTCCCAGATAAAATAATTCCTTGTTAAAAGTGTCAAAGTTTTTGATAAAGTTTTAAGAAGCATCAAAGTTTTCGATAAACTTTTTCAAAGTATCAAAGTTTTCAAGTTTTTCGAAGTGTTAAAGTATCCAAGTTTTCGATAAAGTTTTCAAAGTGTCAAAGTTTTTGATAAAGTTTTTCAAAGTGTCAAAGCGTCGCGAAAGTTTTTCCAAGTGTCAAAGTTTTCGCCAAAGTTTTTCAAAGTTTTTGCCAAAGTTTTTCAAAGTGTCAAAGTTTTCGATAAAGTTTTTCAAAGTGTCAAAGTTTTCGCCAAAGTTTTTCAAAGTATCAAAGTTTTCAAGTTTTTTGAAGTGTTAAAGTATCCAAGTTTTCGATAAAGTTTTTCAAAGTGTCAAAGTTTTTGATAAAGTTTTTTGAAGTGTCAAAGTTTTTGATAAAGTTTTTCAAAGTGTCAAAGTTTTTCCAAGTGTCAAAGTTTTTGCCAAAGTTTTCCAAAGTGTCAAAGTTTTCGATAAAGTTTTTCAAAGTGTCAAAGTTTTCGATAAAGTTTTCAAAGTGTCAAAGTTTTCGATAAGGTTTTTCGAAGTGTTAAAGTATCCAAGTTTTCGATAAAGTTTTTAAAAGTGTCAAAGTTTTTGATAAAGTTTTAAGAAGTATCAAAGTTTTCGATAAACTTTTTCAAAGTGTCAAAGTTTTCGATAAAATTTTTCGAAATGTTAAAGTATCCAAGTTTTCGATTAAGTTTTTCAAAGTGTCAAAGTTTTCGATAAAGTTTTTGAAGCATCAAAGTTTTCCATAAAGTTTTTAGAAGTATCCAAGTTTTCGATAAAGTTTCTCAAAGTGTCAAAGTTTTCGATAAAGTTTTTTGAAGCATCAAAGTTTTCGATAAAGTTTTTAGAAGTATCAAAGTTTTCGATAAAGTTTTTCAAAGTGTCAAAGTTTTCGCCAAAGTCTTTCAAAGTGTCAAAGTTTTTGCCAAAGTTTTCCAAAGTGTCAAAGTTTTCGCCAAAGTTCTTCAAAGTGTCAAATTTTTCAATAAAGTTTTTCAAAGTATCAAAGTTTTCAATAAAGTTTTTCAATGTGTCAGAGTTTTCGCCAAAGTTTTTCAAAGTGTCAAAGTTTTCGCCAAAGTTTTTCAAAGTGTCAAAGTTTTCGCCAAAGTTGTTCAAAGTGTCAAAGTTTTCGCCAAAGTTTTTCAAAGTGTCAAAGTTTTCGTCAAAGTTTTCGTCAAAGTTTCAAAGTTTTCGTCAAAGTTTTTCAAAGTGTCAAAGTTTTCGTCAAAGTTTTTCAAAGTGTCAAAGTTTTCGTCAAAGTTTTTCAACGTGTCAAAGTTATCACTATAGTGAATCAAAGTTTTCAAAGTGTCAAAGTTATAACTATAGTTAACTATAATTAATTATAGTAAACTATAGTTAACTATAGTATTTTTTTGTTAGGGATTTTTGTCATAAACAGATGGCAAATCATAGCGCGTCACTGCATACTTAAGGCAGCCCACTACTAAAATTTCCTATGTCACGGATTTCATAAAATGATGTTTTCTCATTTCTAAAACACCTATCATACTTCAAACAAAAAAAATATATGTCAGTGACCTTAATTTTAAAGGGGGGACCCAAAAAGGGAGAAAGTCCAAAAATAGATATTTTGTTACTAAACATAGCAATTTTTGATCTTATGATTTTTGCCTAAAAAACTGTTCCATTGATGTGATTTAAATTAAAACTATATATTTAGACGCTAGGCATTAAATTCTGTTGATTGGGATTATTTGTTGCCATGGTTACCTATTATGCAAATGTTCAAATTTTCGGAATTTTTTATTAATTTCTTTAAAAAGTAGGCACAAATCTTGTAAAAAAAAAATAAAAAAGAAATATCAATGAATTTAAATGTCAGACATCTAGTGATAGTGCAAGTCCTCCCCTTTTCATAACGAAAGAAAAAAGTAGGTCAGTGATCATCCAAGAAAAATAAATGAGGTCAAAGGTCAGGTAAGTTGCCATTTCGTTGTAATGCAGAGAGCTGAATGAACTGAATACTTTAGACATAATGTATTTAATTTTTTTTCAATTACAAACAATTGTTGTTAGCAGTGGGGTAATAATTACTGCGAAGACACTAAAACACATTTTTGTTGCTATGGTTATGGTACCCCTTATTATCAACGTCACAATTGCCGGAAAATTTACAATGAAAACCTTCAAAGTGTAAATGCAAATCTACAACAAGAGGCCCACGGGCCTTATAGGTCACCTGAGTATTGTGCAACAACTTTCAAACAATTAAATTTGGTTCGTGTTTTAAACCAGAGGCCATGAAATTTGTAATTCACAATTTTGAAAGAGGCATCATTGCTTATCATAATTATAGACTTAGCATGCTTACTCTATTTACTTAATACCCAAACCAAAGGTAGATCAGAGTAAGAGAAAATGCACTTCCACATTATAACCAGTTGTGCACATCATCCCAAAGGAACCGCTAACCTTGGGGCCACATACTTCAAAATTTTATCATAAAATGGTTGATTAATACCAAAGAGCAAATTTCAAAGCATTAATTTATTTTCAGACTATGTACCCCCCCCCCCCCTTTGACCCAGGAGGGGGGAGGGGCATAAAAAATAACCATTCTGATAGATGCACCTTTCTTCCTCATAAATATATATTCTTGGATCATTGGCATAAAACCCAGGAGCAAAGGAAAGATTTTCAAAGAATTAATGTATTTTCACTATATAATCAATAGAGCCCCGCCCTAACACCAGAACCCCTGACCCTGGGGCCATAAAATTCACAATTTTGGAAGAGGCACTCTTGCTTATCATAATTAGTTTTTTTCAAAGTTTTGACGCTTTCCAAGGCATTGTGCGCTTCATAAGTAAAGCCCTCAGCAAGTAAAACTTGGCTTAAATGTTGTTGAGAGTAGGATTTCTGAGACGGAAAAGAAAGTTTAAAAAGTTTCATAGTATCCAGAAATCCAATAACTCCTTCTTCAAATCTGTCTTCAGTATTGCAGTTCCTCAAAGCATTCATAAGAATGGGGCAATCATATGATTTTATGGTATGTCCAACAAGAATCTTTGGTTTCTTAGATGGAAGATTGCCAAGGAAGGAAATGAGATCTTGTAGAGCTTCTTGAATAGGTACTGCTTTAACTGCTTTTCCATTGTGATGCAAAGTTGTACCGTTCAATGCAAGTCCCGTTACTTTGGATGCTTGTGTACTGATGGGCTTTTGGGGAATCACATATGTACAGAAATATTCATCACTGTCTTCATCTAAAGCCGCAATTTGAGTAAATTGAGTAATGTGGGAATCCCGCTCTGAAAGAACATTAAAATTCAATATTTACATTTGCAAATATATTTTCTGTTTATGAACCTACAGAAAAGCTAAAAAAGTTCAAGTCTATGTAAACTTTTTATGGAGTCAAAATGTCAAATTTATGATGTTAACTTGAACGTTGTGTGTTCCTGTTTATAAAAAAATCATGTTATATAATTCAAACAAAAACTTGTTATATCCAGAAATGGTCATATCCTTTTCTCTCTCAAATGCATATATAAGTAAAACATAGCAATACTTTGCCCTTAAAATCAGAATCTGATCACATGACCAACAGAATTCATACATCTGTAAACTTTTTTATAATGCTATTGATTTCCTAAAGATATAGACACTGTATAAAACAGTAAGCTAATAGGAGAGAGAGAGAGAGAGAGACAGAAAGACAGAGAGAGAGAGAGAGAGAGAGAGAATAATGAATGGATATGACATTATTATGCCCAGATCGATGCAAAATACTTCAGAAAAGCATAAAACATTCATTTACCAAATCCAGTTGCTTCTAGATCAAAGTACACATAACTTACAGAACCCACTGGTGGAGATTCTAAAGGGGGGTAATGTGGAGGTGGGATGGCTTCCACATCATCTACTTCTAGATCGTTAAACTCAACACCTGGTTCATAGGTGGGTTCTTCCCTAACCTCAGCTGTGGTTGATTTGTTTCCCCTGGAATTTTGAAATCATATATGAATTTTGATCAATATATCTTTCAATAAATTTTATATTAATAGCACACTAGATATTTTTCTTGTTTATATATATATATATATATATATATATATATATATATATATATATATATATATATATATATTAGAATTAACCATTAAAAATTAACACCTTTCCAACTTTCGCTTAAGTCTTCTTTTTCTTGCCTTTCTCTTGGCTCTTCTGAGGTAATTAAGAATTGCTCCTTTTCTGGTAAATTTACCGGGGGGTAGGCCAATGTTCTTGTGTACCTGTAAAAATATGATAGAGAATTAAAAACAGATTTCTGTAATCTGATCCTAAATATCAGTTACCTTGCTAACATTAACGACATGTAGTTTTAATATAATCAGCAAGATTTTTATTGTTCTCATGAAAGAAAAAATGAGAATATTTGAAATATTATTAATGATTACAATTACAATAAATTTTAATTTGACTTCATATGACATAAACAATGTTTTTATGACTTGGTTCCATTCATAACTTTCAACCAAAAACAAAAAAACAAAAACAAAATTTCAATAAATAAACAACATGTGTAATTGTAAAAGAAAATGATCAAAATTTATTGGAATAAAACATATGAATATTACCTTTTACACAAATTTTTAAAATGAACATATGATTTTTGAACAAAGTAAGTTTAAATCAAATATTAATTTTGCACTGGATTTGTATAATTAAATTTCATATGCAATAATTAATTATAAAGCGAATTTTATTTAGATCAAACTTTTTCAAATAAAGTTTTTATGACAGCAGACAGAATTCAATCAGAGTAGCTCACATTAGGGTCTTTTAATCAACTTAATATATTATAATCAACACAAACTGTTGGGTAAACTGAAAGAAATGCATAATGAATATAATGAATTCCATGCATCTTACTTTCAGCAGATATTCATGACCCTGATTTTATTGTGCTACTGATGAGGCAACCCGGAAGTTAAGATTTGCAGAGGCTGATAAATGCAGGGACTTTGGTGCTTTTGAAGACACAGTTTTATTAAGGGCTTCGTTTCCCTGTGTACTACCAAGAAAAGCCAGTTTTCTGCATTGTTTCCTGTACGCTATGAAAAGCTGTTCCAAAGCCAGTCTCAGTGACTCACATGACAGGGGTTTACCAAATGGCAAAGACTTGTATCTGCTCTTCGGGTTTGATTGAAAGACACAACATGAGGTTCCACTACAGCAGTCATGATTTCCGAAAGCATGGTTGGTTATTGCTTTTAGAGAAATATCAAGGCCCTCTGGGTTTCCCTTGTTTTGAGATAATGCATAATTGAAACATTTTGAGATATATTTGATTACTTTAGCTGAGAGAGATTTGTGTTGTCTTTGCAAAGAGAAAAGAGTTGATGAAAAGTTTTTTCGCACATGATTCTTGTCTGATTCTTTTGAAATGTCTATGGATTCTGCTCGCAAACGACATAAAGTAGCAGCATCATCATCTGCAACTAATGTGCCCATTTTGATTCCCTTCTCATTCATGTCCTTAACAATTGACACCACCATGTCTGATTCCATACTTTTAGCACTGCCTTTAAAATTTTTCCGACAATCATGGGCACCTAATTTCAGATTGGACTTTGAAGCATTAATTTTCACACACACGGCAGGATTTTGAACGCACTGCATAATTCATTACTTTACCTGTCTCTGCACCAATCATAGAACAATGGCCTAAAATATGGATGTTTAAGCTTTTTCAATATTTACAAAAAACCAGTTTTTATATCATATGTACCTAAAGAGCCAAGGGGCCATGCGCATCTCTTGCCTACACAGTTTCTGAATTCAGAAATGATAATTCTTAAAACACTTTTTAATCTAAACTTTTGTCATTTTAATGTGATCCTTTAATACTAATCAGGGATTAATTTTGATCAATTTGAACCAACATAACCATATATACACTAAAGAAAATGACATACAACCTAAGTGACATAATGACACCAGTCAAAATGTGAGCATATAATGAGAAGAAATATTGTTATAAAAACAATTTTTTACAACATTTATATGTAATTGTATTGTCAATATAAATGTTTAGGTTAATACACATACCAGACAGACTATCATATGAGCGACCACTGCCCCTCTTTTGCCAGCCTGCGTCGACACGATAACAGACGATCTCGCTTATTATCCCTCTCAATGAAGTCATATTGTAAATAGTACATCTAAGAATTGGCTATTGAGAAGAAAATTGTGAATAATAATTGATATATTTATGATAAATTAGCACAATAATAATTAATAGGCGATTAAAAATATTTGTTTAAATATGAAACAGCGATAGCGAAGAAAAATCTAAATATGAAAATGACGTATAAACGCGCGACTTAAAAAAATGGAGGTCGTGTTAAGTCAGCAAATACGGTACCATGTGATGGATGGTTTTTTCCCTCCTATTCAGAAGAGTGACCTTTGCACACGATACACCAAAATTTTCAGCAAAGCGACGCCACGAGGCATGCAAACTAATGTAAGTTTTCAGTTGCTGGAATTCTTCAATGTGGCACTGGCGTAAAAAGCTTGTTTAGCATAGAGACGCACTAAATGGCACCCTATGATTAATTTAAACAATACATAACATGTTTAATTTCTTTTGACTTAGCATTGTATGTTGCTGCGCAAAGCAGCGAAAGTTACATGAACATTGTTATATGGAAGAGTTACCTCCCGTCATTGTCTATTACAATATTTATTGAAGATAGAGGAAATTTGGTTAGGTATTTTTTAAAGCAGAATTTGATAATTTGGATTTAATTTAGAAATTCAGCAAATATATTTTACATTAGTTTAGTAATTTAAGTTTTAGAGACTTGGTAGTGTTCTCTTTTTAAGTAAAGGTTTTGTCTAGAACCTGGGAAGTTGGGGGGGGGGTTAAAATGTAATTAAGTGATTTCTTTATTACATCATAACTGATGCAATATTGCTCTATA